AAAAAAATATTTGCGAGACCTGAAGCACCAGACCAAAAACCAGCAAAACTGAATTCTTTCAAATACTCCAAAACGTGTCCGAAACTCACCCGAGCCCTGAGGCTCAAAACCAAATATCCACACAAGTACATAAATATCATACGAACCCACTTGTGCGATAAAAATATCAATATAACTTCCGAAATAACCAATCGGACACCAAAACACATGAAAATCACAATGAACTACAAGAACTTCTAAAAACACAATCACACGTCTGATTCCTATCAACCTAATTCAAAATAACACCAAATTTTACAGATAAGTCACAAATGATAAAACGGACCTATTTCAAGTCCCAAAACTAAAATTTGAACCCGATAGCCATAAAGTCAAACCATGGTCAAACTTAGGAAAATTCTAAACTTAAATTGGCAACTTTCAGCATAACAATTCAAATCAACCTAAGGATCTCCGAATTCAATTTCGAGCATATGCCCAAGTCCAAAATCACCGTACGAACCTAAAGGAACCATCAAAACTCCAATCCAAGATCAAATACGTAAAAAGTCAAACTTGGCCAATTCTTCCATCTTTAAGCTTCTAAAATGAGAATCACTCATCCAAATCAATCCCGAACTACTCAAAAATCAAAACCAACAATACACGCAAGTCGCGATACACTATATGAAGATATTCGTGACCTCAAACGAATGAACAAAGTGTAATTGCTCAAAATGATCGGTCAGGTCGTTATAACTTCTCAGATAAGCAAGATGCCATTCCATATCTATATTGTCAAAATATATTGAAGCTATATTAACCCTCTAGAGTATTCTATTTCATCAAGAAAGAAGAATTGTTCTACCTTGCATAACCAAGCCCTGAAGTTGGTACTAATGAAATGAGGGAATTCTAGCTTAGTCATCCTTGCCATGGTAGTTCCTCTTGGAGAAGTGGCTACAAGTTGTTGGCTTATCCCAACAGTATCCCCACCTCCCTGATTACAGGTTGAAGTTTGGCCCTGAACAAGACCTGCAGAGGTTTGAACATGAGGTGAAGCAACACCCAAAGGAAAATGAGATTGAGGCAAAGGGACTAACCCCAAGTGGTAACCAGTTGGAGTATGTTGCGGAACTCTAAACCCTCATTGGTTGTTAGGTACCCAAGTAGCTGAGTTACTAGAAAAGAGTGTAGATCTCCCCAATACCATCTGCTTCTTCAACACTCTTCCTTACTTTGTACTTCTTCACAGCTTCAATAGATTCCTTTAGTTTAGCAAAAGCTTTCTCATGTTAGTTTTCAAGATAAGTCTGTTGAACCGCAAATGTTTTGCAATTTCAATAGTCATCCTGTCGAACATAGATTTAATCTCGTCCATATTTACCATAAATTCATCCACATAGTTCAAGAAAGTGCTCTGATACCAAATGTTGCAGCATGAATCGAGCAAAAATATATAAAATGGTAAAGAGCAGAGAAGAATCTAAGTAAACTAACTTGGTTAAGAGATATTTTTGATTAATAAAAACAATGAAAAGGAGAATAGTTACAATTTATACCCTCCAAACCCTAGCTAAATAATCCCAAAGAGCAAAATGAATAAGGATTCAATACAAGACTATAAGACAAATCCGACCAGGAGCTAGATGGTGACATCCCAGGATATTAACCTACCAAATGCGTAAATACATAAACTTCTACTAAAAACTATTGAGGACTAAACTATAACTTAACAGAACTTCTTTTTAACTCCTTAAGTAACAGCTAGGTACTCCTCCAACAACTTGAGTCCAACCACAATCAGCTTTCTTCTATTCTCAGACTTGATTCTGCATCACTTAATGATGGGCAAAAGTTAAAGCAACCGAGCCTATTGAATACAATAACCTATAAAATCTAGAAAATTGTTAACAAAAAATTTTAATAAAAAACCAAATTTTAATATTTTATGAAGGGAAACTTAATTCTATTGGTTGTTAATGTGTTCATTTCTTTCTTAGGCTGCAGTTGATAAGGCTAAAGCTAAAAGTATGAAGTAGAAGATTTCTTAAAGCTCCAGTTGTCATGTGTTGGCTGTATAACATTTTATTGCTTCATTCAGTATGTTTGACTTCAAGGAAGAGTTCAGAACCAGGATTTTTCACTTGGTAAGGTTCTTTTTTCACTAGATAAAAGTTACTATAATTATCAGAAAATATAACTACCTGTATTGCTAACAGTACCCCTACTGCTTTGGCGTGGACCTTTAATTTCTTTTCTCTTCTTTTTCTTTTTTTGAAAATTGTCTATGAGCCATATATTTTCTTATTTATTAAGTATCCCGGAGAAAATGTTGTCAGTATCTTTTAAATAGTTAATTTCAAGCACTAAGGGGTCATTTGGTATATGGGATAAGGATAATAATCCCGGGATAAAGTTTGGGATTAACTTTATCCCATGTTTGATTTGAGGTATTAGCTAATATCGAGATAACTTTTATACTAAAATAGTGGGATTAGTTACTTCATGGGATATCCCACCATTATACCAGACAACCCTTAAAAGGGCATTAAACATGTCTTGTCATTAGTCCAGCTATCTTGTAACTCACCTCTTACGGTTTAACCAATTGAAAAATGTCGTCACGTGAAAAGCTGAACTTGGATGGTAAAATTTGTACTCCTTCCGTTTCAATCTAGATGACACATTTCGCTTATCGAGAGTCAAATTATGTAAAGTATGACCAATATTTTAAAATAGTTTTTTTTATCATATTGACATGAGAAAAATTACAACTTATAGTACTTTTCGTTTAGTTTTGAAATATCTAAATTTTAGTTTTGAAATACTAAGTTATACTAATCCAATTTAGCATCAAAGTTTAATCAAATTGACTCTCGATAAGCGAAAAGTGTCATCTAAATTAAAACGGAGGGAGTAATAAGTTTGTGTTCAAGATCTTTGATGTTCATGCACGGTTTTATTCTTTAATAATTTAACCAACTGTATTAGTATAGGGTAAAATATGTTCATATTAAATGCTCGCATGATACAACGACACGTGGAGCCGAAGACAGAAGGCAACCAGGTCCGAAGGCAATGATCTAGTTTGTTCCTGAAGGGAATGGAGTCCATGAAGGTGAAATAAATGTTAGTCACCCGGTAGCATTTAATGGAGAATATAAGTATATAGTCTGCTACAGAGAATATGGAATTCAAAGCCTACTTATATATATATTCTTCAATGGCTCTCATAATTGTAATTTAAGAAGGACTTGATCTTAGGACCTTGTTCCCTTGATGCAATTAGAAATAGAGGCTCAACAACCATTGTAAAGGACATGAATTTTCTGACAAGCTGATACTATACTTTGTTCAAAATGTCAATAATATTTCATCTTCTTGCTTATTAATATTGTTACTACTGCCTCCAGAATCAAGATTTCCATTGTCTTATCTCGATTTCAACGCTAAGTCTTACATTCTTGTTTAATTTATTTATCATTTTGGGGTCAAATTAATTCACTTGTCTATAAACCACATACAAATTTAACTGTACCATTTTACGGGTAAACAGATTGGCACCCACTGTGGGGCTTAGACAGTTGTGTAATTGAGTTGATCCTTGCATCTACTAACCTGTTTGATTCTCTGTTCTTAACAAATATCATAGAAAATGGCAAATAACGATGTCAACATCGCACACAATATAGAGGCCCAAGGAAATCAGCCTCAGCATGAAGATTCGAACAGTGAAAGCCGCAATGAGGTGGATGAGGCCACGCCGGTTCATGGCGGGAAATATCCATGACATGTTCTAGAGGCAACTCCTAATGATGCTGAAGACGAACACGTCACTGAAACAGTAAGGATCCTGAGGGAGCAACAAAAGGCCATTATGGTCCACCTCTCGCGACAAGATCAGGTCATGACGGAACTGAGGTAGGCGTTGTCGGGTGTTTCCAACAACGTGAATGAACAAGGTCCAGTTCCTCCCGGTGCTCCCGCAAATCAAACAATGCAGAGATTCGATAATAACACCCCGGGGGCCGAAGTCGGTTTTGACAGGGCCGGGGGGCACGGTAGAGGATCTGTTAACAATAATAAGAATGATCACTTTAAAACCGAACTCATGCGGTGTATGCGGGAAATAAATGCCTGAATGGATCAGATTCCGGGTGCACCACCAGAATTGAAAGGACCGGACTCGAAGAAGTACACCCAATTGCCGTTCAAACCAAGCTCGACAATAGAGTTGATCCCGAAATGGTTCAAAATGCCAGACGTGCCGAAGTATGATGGAACTTCGGATCCTTAGGAGCACATCACCTCCTATACAATGGCGGTAAAGGGAAACGATTTAGCTACGCACGAGATTGAGTTAGTCTTACTAAAGAAGTTTGGGTATTCGCTCTTGCCTGAGCACTCAATAGATTCTTTCAAGATGCTCGCAGATTCTTTTATCAAGGCCCATGCCAGGGCTAGAAAGGTGCAGGCTCGAAAGGCAGACATATTTAGGATTCACAAGGAGAGTATGAATTCCTGCAGGAGTTCGTGACCAGATTCCATAAAGAAAGGATACTTTTACCGGTCATACCGGGCGAATGGGTAGCTGAAGCACTCACTAAAGGATTAAATCTGAGAAGTTCCGACGCTTCTCAAAATTTAAAGAAAGTCTGCTCGAGTTCCAGACAACAACATGGGCGGATGTTCACAATCAATACGAGTCAAAGATAAGAATTGAGGATGATCAGCTCGGTTTCCCGACATCAACCAAGGGTCGGGACCGGGAAAAGAATAAGGAGAGATCAAAGGATGATTTTGGCACAGATCGACGGTCTTCAAGGGGTCGGTTTTTGCCCTATGAATGGACTGAAGGATGCGGTAGAGGTTTCCGGTCGGCGGATAAATTCTCAACCGTTAAGAGAGTTGATCACGGCCGGAATAACAGATAACTGTAGGACAAGAAGTTATCAGGTTCCCGAGATTCCTCCTAACCCAAGCTTTCCGAATATAACTTCAACATCAACGTAGAGGAGATGGTGTCGGCTATGAGGAACATTAAGAAAGTACGGTTCCCAAAACCAATGAGATCTGATCCCAGTCAAAGGGATCCTAATTTGTGGTGTGACTATCATGGAACCAATGGCCATCGGACATGGGATTGCCGGTATTTGCGCGAGGAGGTGTGGACATTGCTGAAAAACTACCATCTTAGTGAATTCTTGACTGATCAGGCTAAAAAGAATTACGGCCGCAATCGTGATAACGCGGAACCTTCAAAAGCAGGTAAAGATCCCTCACGTTTGACAATCAACATGATTTTTTGGGGGAACGAGATTATTGGTGTGACATTTTCTACGGTAAAAATATAAAGGTGTCAGTGACCCACAGTAAGAGACTCTGAGAAGTCACTGAGGACGACATTACTTTCATGGAGGAAGATGCAAATGGACTACTTCTTACGCACAACGATGCATTGGTAATCTCTTTAAATGTCTTAGATTTTAAAATTAAACGTGTTTTGGTAGACCCAGAAAGTTCGGCCAATATAATCCACTGGATAGTGTTAGAGAACGCCAAGCTCACCGGAAGTATCATTCCGGCCACAAAACCCCTCGTTGGGTTCAACCTATCAAGCGTGACAACCTGAGGAACTGCTGCCCACGAATGCCGAGGGGGTTATGAAGACGACCATTTTTGAGGTAGTGGACGGCGATATGGGCTATAATATTATCCTAGGGAGGACGTGATTGCATGAGATGAAGGTTGTGCCATCAACATATCATCAATTGCTGAATTTTCTTAACTCCTGAGGGAATTAAACACATAAGAGGTGACCAACCGACAACAAGGGATATGAGCGCAATCAGTTTCCAGTAGCAAAGGGAAGGAACATTTAGTACAATAATTACAGGAATCGGCGCCTACTCCCGAGCCGAACGAAGTCAACCAGGGAGAGGAGTCATTAGAATCCTATCAGTTACCAAGATATTTCCAGGTACTAGAAGAAATAGACGCAACAAAATCCATAGCGAAAGAACTTGAGCAAGTCGCGTTGTTCGAAAAGTTCTTGGAGAGGAAGTTACACTTGGGGACAGGGCTAAACCACGAGCTCGAGTCTGTATTTATCAAGTTTCTTAAATTTAATGTTGACTGTTTTGCATGGTCGCATGTGGATATGACAGGTATCCTGCCAGAAGTGGCCATGCACAAACTAAGCTTGGATCCCAACACCCCTCCGATAAGACAGAAAAAACATCCTATTGCCGAGATCAGAAACAAATTAGTCAAAGAAGAGGTAACTCATTTGATTGATATCGGTTAAATCCAAAAGGTAAAGTATCCTGACTGGATAGCTAACGTAGTAGTAGTTCCAAAGAAAAATAATAAATTTCGTATGTGCGTAGACTATAAGGACCTAAATAAGGGGTTCTCCAAAGACTCGTTCACATTGCCAAACATTGATCAAATAATCGACGTGATAGACATGCACGAGTTAATGAGTTTCCTCGATGCTTACTCCGGGTACAATCAAATCAAGATGAACTCGCAGGATAAGGAAAAAACTTCGTTCATAATAAACTTTGGCACATATTGTTATAATGTGATGCCTTTCGGGCTAAAGAACGTTAGAGCCACTTATCAACGGCTCGTAAACAAAATGTTTGAGAAATATATTGGGAAAACCATGGAGGTTTACATAGATGTTATGTTGGTTAAGTATTTGAATGCAGGTGATCATCTTAAACACCAGTAAGAAACCTTTGACATCCTAAGGAAGACAACATGAAGCTCAACCCCGAGAAGTGTGCATTTAGAGTCAGCTCCGGTAAGTTCTTGGGATTCCTGGTGTCGCAAAGGGGGATCGAGGTTAACCTTGATAAAATTAAAGCGATCGAAGACATCCCAGACTAGCTATGAAGCGTGAAAGAGGTTCAAAGACAGGAAAACTGGCCGCTCTGAGCAGATTCATTTCCCGGTCTTCGAAAAAATGCCATCATTTATTTTCACTCCTCAAAAAGAAGAACAACTTCGTATAGACTCCGGTATGTTAGCAGGCTTTGAAGGATTTGAAAAGGTATTTATGGAGCCCTCCATTACTTTCAAAACCGGAGGAAGGCTAACAATTGTTGATCTACTTGGCTGTCACGACCCAACTGGAGGGTCATGACTAGCACCCGGGCCATACTTGCCGAGCACCAA